ATGATAATGATAATATAGGAAGAAAAATGACATTACATAAATGATAATGATAATATAGGAAGAAAAATGACATTACATAAATGATAATGATAATATAGGAAGAAAAATGAAATTACATAAATGATAATGATAATATAGGAAGAAAAATGAAATTACATAAATTAAATTTAGATGATTACATGTTTCTGATTTAATGATAAGGAATGAATAAATGAGAAATATTTTGTTTGGCGATATATTTCATTAAGTATATATAATTTTATTACTTAATTTTATTTTGATATGATTTTATCATTTTATTAATAATATGATTTTATTAAATGATATACTTTATTAAATGGCATATTTTATGAAGTATCATACTTTATCAAGTGATATATATACTTTATTGATATATTAAGTAACATACTTCTTGACTAAATGATGTATTTTGTTTGTTGAATATATTTCATTAAATGATATACTAAATGATGTAATTTATCAATTCATACATTTTCATATCAATTTTATCCAATTCATTAATCATTGTTAAATGAATAACTGAGAAAATGCGTATAACATTTCAATTTTATGCCTTTAATTTAATTATTATTAAGAGTCAAAAATTATCACAGCTAAAATATGATTTTATTGCTAGCATAACTAATTCAGATTATATTTTATTCCAAATTTAATTTAACATTTCGTTACCTATTTGTTATCTAATCTTATTTTTTTTTTTTCTCAAATTATAACTTGTTTCAAAATCAAAACGATTTATTAGCTAGGATTTTTTTCTTATACATGATATTACTTCAGGTATTATTTGTGTTGCAGGTAAGAATATAAAGTATGAAAATTATCATGAGAGGTAATAATGATATTGACATCTTACCTTAGTCACAAATTTTTTTCCTAGAATTTTAAGTTTTAAATTTTGTAGAAAAATAAGAAATTAAAATAAATATCTTATTTTCGTCTTCATTCTCAACCTTCTCTCATTTCAAAATTTCCATCCCTTATTTATCCTCTTCTCTAATTGGAAATAATTAATTAATTTAATAGGTTAATATCAACGAATAAATTTAATCATTTGGTTAACGATTCGATGAACTGACCAATGGTATATGTTTCTTTTTAGAAGCCTATATGTCAAAGCAATCTTTGACATACAGTTGTTAGTTATTCGATCATCATGAGGATTTGTTAAATAGGTTAACCGTTTAAATTTACATTAATATATTATTACCACACATAATACTGTTTGTGGCGGTAAATGATCGAAACCAAATGGCGCTAATTTATTCTGTAATCGTTCTTCTTTTCCTTTTGTATACCAATAAAAGTTACGCTGAATTAGTCGACTTTCCATTGTTGCTATAAAAAGAATTTTTTATTTTTAAAAATATTTTGAATAAAAAATTAAAATTGACAATTTCTTTTGTTTTTTCAAATGAACTTTAATAATTATCAATTTAAATATATCAGAAATGTATTAAAAATGCAATAGGATAAGCAATTTTTTGGAAATTTTTTAGGAAAACAAATTTGTTAATATTATTTCCAATATGCTAATATTATTTCCAATATGCTTAATTAATGATTAGATTTAACGAAATGATTGATTTTTGATAGTTTGTTTCTATAAATAATTGTAACCGATCTACGATTTTATGCAACAACCACACTTGAACAATCATGTAATGATCATCATCCGGACCGGAAAATCATTCTTCAATTAAATTAAACATCGTCAATGCCTATTCCGGTTCGATCGTCAATGCCACTATTCCGGTATCAGTGAGATCTGACTAATTGCTTGCATAGATTCCATTTTCCTACAGCTTATAATGTATATCCGGTTGATAACAATTCAACTTAAACCACCGATATCATAAGTTTTGAATGATAAGCATGCAATTATATCAAAAATGTTGCATGAAATGTTTAAGTAATTCCGGTACCGGTATTCCTCATATAATTTTTTCGCATTTAACATTCATTAGTTAAAATGTCAATCACTTATACTTTTCCGGAATAATATTGCCTAATCAGAATGTAGTCTATTCATAATTTGCATGTAAATATATCCGGAAATAGTTGATCGTAACTCTGATCTCTGACATTACTACTATTAAATGCTTAGGTAATTCCGGTTGTGGAAAAAAAAACTTACATTTTGATGCCGGTCTAGAATTGACCTCAGTAAAGATAATTAACATTAAGAGAATAACGAATGATGAAACCATTGATTCAAATATCTAAAAAAAAAAAAATAATAATTGAAATCTATTAATTTCATACAAATTTATAGAAGAGAATTTGTTTTAGGTTTTGTTTTTTTTTTTTTTCTTTTCCTTACTCATTTGCTAATAATATTTGAGAAATACATTAATTAGTAGTAAAATAATTAATATGCCAATTAACAGGAAAATAGCAAAATCACATATTAAATTAATAGTATAATTAATTAAAACAATTTTGAACATAAGAAAAAAAAAGAAGCAAAGTGCAAAGATAAAAACATTTGGAGTGTAAAATGATTAGAATGATGATATTAAGATGGATGATAATGAATAATAACTATTAGCATTAATGCATTTCGAACACTGACCAAATGAATGGTCATTCCATTGGTCAAATGTTAATAAATATTAATAGGATAAATAATAGTTGAAGATTTATGAACTGCACAATGTTTAAGCTTCAAGCAAATGAATCGATAAGCCTAAGATCATATGGAGATGATTAATGACAAGATGGCTTGGTTTACTGAATCATCTGATTTTTGAAATTTATCAGTAGAAAGACAATACGAACTTCGTTTCGATTTATGGATTAATATATTTTCATCAATAAAACAAGAATATATTTAGTGATAATCGATAATCGATGTATGTAATTAATCGTTAATATTTAATTTTAATTTTTAACAAATTAATTATTGTTATAAATTATAAGTTAATTTTAATTGAAGAAAAATAAATTGTTTTTTGCAAAGGTTTTTTTCACAATAAATAGGCTAAAGTGAAATAATTTTAATAGCTAATACTCAAAAATTATACTCATAACTCATAATTATGGCATATAATTATATAAAATTTCTTTCAAACATATGCAAATATTTAATCCTTAAATAATATTCATATTAGTCGTAATAATAATTAGTTAATAATATCATACAATAATAGAAAAGATAAATATAATTAATCGAAGATGAAAAAAGAAAAAAAAAGGAAAGTTTAAATTTGAAATAAAAAAAATGAACGTTGAAAAAATTACAAATAAAAAAGGAAAAGGAAAACTTGAGAAATGAAGAAATTAAAAAATTTGTACTTAAAATTAAAGATATATTTATAAATGTATGAAAATTACAACAAAAAAAGTTGTGTGAAAAATAAAACTTTTCTCATCTTCTTATCTTATCTTTGCAAAATAAATAAATAAGTAATAAAGTTTCCTCCCTGTTAAAATATAAAAATAAACTATTATTCTGACATTTATTTATTGCAAATTTAAAATAACAAAATTCTTATGTATGCTTTCTTATTAGCAAATGCTTATTTGATATTTTTCATTAAGTTTATCATCAGCTGATTAGCGTATTTTTTCTGTTTATTATCATCTGATCAATGTTAT